CTCCCTCTCCCCCCTCTCCCTCTCTCCCTCCCCCTCTCCCCCTCTCTCTCTCCCCCTCTCCCTCTCTCCCTCTCTCCCTCCCCCTCTCCCCCTCACTCCCTCCCCCTCTCCCCCTCTCCCTCTCCCTCTCGGTACTCGCTATCCATTGAGAGGGTAAGTCAAGTTTTAACGTGAATTGTCTGTGTGTTTGAGCGAATCAGTTGATTGTTCCTCTGTTTATGTATTTATATCTATACATTTAAAAGAAGCGATGCCTCACTCTCCGGAAAAGCCCGGATTTCCAGAGCAACAGCGGCAAATGTGTGTGTGGAGCAGTTCAGTGACAGGACGGGGACACTGAGAGGGAGTGAGGGGAGGGGGTGAGAGGGAGTGAGGGAGGGGTTGAGGGGAGTGAGAGGGGAGGGGGTGAGGGGAGGGGGTGAGAGGGAGTGAGGGGAGGGGGTGGGAGGGAGTGAGAGGGGAGGGGGTGAGGGGTGAGGGGAGAGGGAGTGAGAGGGGAGGGGGTGAGGGGTGAGGGGAGAGGGAGTGAGAGGGGAGGGGGTGAGGGGAGGGAGTGAGGGGAGGGGGTGGGAGGGGTTGAGGGGAGTGAGAGGGGAGGGGGTGAGGGAGGGGGTGAGAGGGAGTGAGGGGAGGGGGTGGGAGGGGTGAGGGGAGGGGGTGAGAGGGAGTGAGTGGAGGGGGTGAGAAGGGAGGGGGTGAGAGGGGAGGGAGTGAGGGGAGGGGTGAGAGGAGAGGCAGTGAGGGGAGGGGGTGAGAGGAGGGGGTGGGAGGGGAGGGAGTGAGAGGAGAGGGAGTGAGGGGAGGGGGTGAGAGGGAGGGAGTGAGGGGAGGGGGCGAGAGGGGAGGGGGTGAGAGGAGAGGGGTGAGGGGAGGGGGTGAGAGGGAGTGAGGATTGAGAGGTGAGAGGAGAGGGATTGAGGGGAGGGGTAGTGAGGAGGGGGATTGAGGGTGTGAGAGCGAGGATTGAGGGGAGAGGGTGAGAAGAGGGGGTGAGGGGATTGAGGGGAGAGGGTGAGAGGAGGGGGTGAAGGGATTGAGGGGAGAGGGTGAGAGGAGGGGGAGAGGGGATTGAGGAGAGGGGATTGAGGGGAGGGGGTGAGGGGATTGAGGGGAGGGGGTGAGAGGAGAGGGGTTTGAGGGGAGGCGGTGAGTGGTGAGGGGGAGTTTAAGGAAAGGGCGAATACCTTTCATGGCCTTGGGACGTCCTCCAGATGTGAAGGCGCTGTACAAACATAATTTGTTGTTTTGAGAGGGGATTGAGAGGAAAGGGGGTGAGGATTGAGAAGAGAGGAGTGAGGATTGAGAGGACAGTGGATGAGAAGCGGTTGATGATAAACAATAACAATAACAATCTTTGCATTCGATACAGCGCCTTATCGCGTCTTCGAGACGTCTCAAAGCGCTTCACAGAATAGACTGTAAAGTGAATTGACTGTGTATTTTGGTGTATTTTGGGGCGAAACCCGGCAGCCGATGATGCAGTGATGGGGTAAACTAGGATTGAGGAGAAGGTGTGAGAGACGATACAATACAATTTGCATTTATATAGCGCTTTGCGTGTCAGGAGACGCCTCGAAACGCTTCTCAGTGCAGGGATCAGCGGAGCGGAGGGTGAGGACGGAGCCGGCGGAGGCTCCCGCGGGAGAGGACGCGAACCTCAGTGATCGGGATAGTCTGAGTGTGTGGCGAGAAGCACTGGGGGATCCGGACTGCAGAGCAGGGGCTTGGTGGGGGGGGGCAAGCCCGGATGTGCTAAAAACCGTGGGCTGGAGTCTTGCCGGCCTGAAGGGAGGGGTAGCGGAGACGGGCAATGTTTCGGAGGTGAGGGAGGGAATGCTGAGCGGGTCCGAGCACAGATGTGGGGAGCCACGCAAGACACTGAGGTTCAACCCAAGCTCCGTGAGGTGCACACCCAGGGAGGTAGATCAAGGCGCTGACGGGAGCCGAGCAGGAGAGAGAGGGGGGGGTGGGTGGGTGGTGGGGGGGGGTGTGAGAGCGGATTGAGGGGTGGAATTTTGAACCTGGGAGTGGGGAGGGAATATATTGTGAGACGCAGGGTGGCGAGAGGATTGGATTTCAGCTACATTTATCACCATCTGGAGTCATAATAATAATAATAATAATCCTTGCGTTTGGTACAGTGCCCGATCCCGTCTTCGAGACGTCTCAAAGCGCTTCACAGAATATACTGTAAAGTGAATGGACCGTGTATTTTGTGGGCGAAAAGTGCCTTTTAGCTATTCTTTAGAGTTATATTGTGCTGTTTAGCTATTTATACAGTCAATAATTCCAAATAAAAAAGTTCACATTTTCAGGATTCGTTGGGGAAATCGACAGTAAATGGGGGAGGCGGGGGGGGGGGGGGGGGGCGGTGAGGTGGGAGTGGAGGGGGGAGGGAGAGAGAGAGAGAGGGGGAAAAAGCAACAAATTGTCAGCCGGGGAGGAGTTACCTGCAATGGCTTCAGGACAAATAGCTTGAAGCCTCCTCTCTACTCCCCGACACCAGTGGCAGATATTGGTCTGTGTTGTGTTGTGTTGGGTTCCCCTCTCTCTGGAGGAAGGCTGTGTGTGTGCGGGACTGGGTCGGTGGTTGGGCGCGCGCGGGAGAGAGACAGAGACAGAGAGAGAGAGAGGGAGGGAGGAGAGGAGAGGAGAGGAGAGGAAAGACCTGGAGTTGAAAGCACAAAGGTATTTGCCGTTTCCTCAACCGCACGGCTTGTCCTTGGGCAGAACAACAAACACAAATTGGGAAAAAAGCATGTTCTTCGAGCTGACGGAGACGTGAGTAAACCTCAGATCCCATGGAAACGAGTCGATTCGCCTGACACTCTCTCTGCTCCTCTCTATCTCTGTCTTTTTCTCTCTCTCCGTCTTCTCTTTCTGCCTCTCTCTCTCTCTCTCTCTCCGTCTTCTCTTTCTGCCCCTCTCTCTCTCTCTCCCTCTCTCTCGCTTCCTTTCTCGCTCTCTCTCTGTCTCTTTCTCACTCTTTTTCTTTTCTTCTCTTTTTCTCTCCATCCTCTCTCGTGGTGTTTCTGTCTCAATCTCTCGGTGCCCCTCTCTCTCTCTCTCTCTCTCTGTCTCTGCGTTTTTCTCTTTCCGTCTTGATTCTCTCTCTCTCTTTCTTTCTCCATCTTCAATTTTTCTCTGTCTCCCCTCTCCTCTCTCTCTCCCTCTCTCTCTAATTCTTTCGCTGCCTCTTTCTCTCATCTCCCCCCACCCGATTTCTCTCGGTCTGTCCCTTTTTCTCTCTCTCTCCGCATTTCTCTCCCAGTGCCTCTCTCTCTTTCCCTCCCTCGCCACACAGTTGTTTCTCTCTCTCTGTATTTCTTTCTCACTGCCTCTTTCTTTCTCTCTTTCCCCACTTTCTCTCTCACTCCCCCCCCACCCACTTCCATGTAATATTGAGAGGTAAACTGTCTTGTGTATAAACATGACAAGAACAATGTATCCGGAAGGCAGCAGCACATATCCATCCTTTCCAGCAGCCTTTATCAAGTGCCAGCATCTCTCCCAGCGAGAGATTATTTGTGTGAGCTGTTTTGTCAGTACAGCACAGTGCAATACTGAGCCGGGCTGTTTACCCAAAGCAACGTTGCGAGCGCCAGTGTAAAACTATTTTATAAAAGCATTCTCCACTCCTCCCCCACCGCCCGTAAGCTCACAATCAAAATACGGGCTTGAAGTATTCGCTGTGATGTCTTTGCTGCCAAATGTCTTACGCTTTCAACTGAGGCTCTCAACTGGTTGTTTTCGACCAGGTTGTTTACCAGCCCGGCTCAGTCAGTCAGTCAGTCAGTCAGTCAGTCACTCAGTCAGTCCCGCTCTCACCACTTGAGACAGAAGGTTGGGGTTTGAAGCCCCTCGTTGTAGGCTCGGAGCTCACACTGACCCTCCTGGGGGGTGGGGGGAAGCGCTGCGGTGTCGGAGACGCCGTCCTTCGGATCAGACGTTAAACCGCGGTCTCGTCTGTTCAGGTGGACGTTAAAAGATCTGTTTGACAAAACAAAGGGAGTTTCTTTCTCGCGGTGACCCGGCCAGCGTTTAGCGGAGAGAAAAAAATGAGCATTCTGTTTGAGATGTGAGAATTCTGTGCAGAATTGTCTACCGCGTTCACCTACAAATTATAGTCACTAGGCTTTAGAGAAAACTCTGTGAAGCTCATTGTAATATCCTCCCGACTTGTACGAAATGCAAGGAACATAATGCAATTTAATTCTACACGAGGATTGTTTTTTTTCCCACACAAGACTGCAAAGAGCTAACGTGAAGTGAGTTCCCAACTTCTTGATGTCTTGGTCAATTTGGGAATCCTGTTTCTTTGATTTTTTTGAAATGAATATGTCTGCTGCAATTTTTGTGGCTTGCAAGCCAGGTCGTCATGTTATCCGAGTCTCTTAACGGTGCGCATATTTCTCATATCTGTCTTTGAGCTCACAGTCTAGGCTGACTCTCCAGTGTGGTGCTGCGTTGGCGAGCTACATTGTCAGAGGTGCCGTCCCTCGGATGAGACGTTAAACTGAGGTCCCGTGGGTGCCCTGTTCAGGTGGGAGTTAAAGATCCCGTGACGCTGCTGGGAAGAAACAACGCAGAGTTTCTCCCAGTGTCTTGGCCAACAAAATATAAAGCAAATCTTCCTTGCATTTGATACAGCAAATTTTGGACACTCAAACCACAACCGTTTGTGGGACCCTGCTGTGTACAATTGGCTGCCGCATTTCGCCCGCAAAATACACAGTCAATTCACTTTACAATATATTCTGTGAAGAGCTTTGCGACATCTCAAAAGACGCTATATCAAATGCAAGGATTATTATTATTATTATCATCAAGTGTTAGGAGGATTCTTAATCCCCGAATCTTGACCTGCACGGTGGCCAGGATTGTCTGGACTTTGTTTTAATATATTTTCTATAGACTTCATGCACTCATTATAACTCACTAAAAGTGCTTTTCCAATTTGAGAGAATTACTAACGTGGTTTAAATTTATTTCGCTCCTCACACGCTCCGCACTGTGTCTAAGTGGGAGCCACTGCACTTCATTGCTTCCAGACCTCGGAGTTATTCAATACTCTGTTACCGCCTGTTCTCTTGGCACTTCCCCACTTTGATGAATTCCTGTCAATGCGTTGCCCAGAGCGCGCACAATATCAGGTCAGCCCGGCTCCCTCCTTAGCTCTCTCACTTCTGAATCAGGAGGTTGCAACCCAGCCTGATGTTCCAGACCAGTGCTGGGGGGAGCGACAAACTATTGGCAATGCCGTCCTTCGGATGAGATGTTAAGCTGTGTGTTCGGGTGGCACTACGTAAACGCAGTTTGTTGTTGTTTGTTGTTGATGACGTTGACATTAAAGATCCAACAACCCTATTGTAGAAGAGAATGGAGTTTCTCCTGGTGTCCTGGGCGACAATTCTTGAGATAAAATTGATCTGTGGGACATTGCTGTATGCAAATTGATTGTTGCCTACAAAATACAATCACTACACTTGACCCGGGCCACGTGATCCTCGTTGGACGAGCAGCAGGAAAGCGTGCCAGACGGCGATATCAATGGCAAGCTATGTGGTTTTAGCTGGTTAGGCTCCAGCAATTACCCCAATGCACGCTCTGGGATCCCCAAGCTTTGCCAACCTGCGCCTAATACTCTCTGGAATTAGGTAAACAGAAAGCGTACCTCCAAGGAGAGAGAGAGTGCGCATTCCAACAATCTATCTCTGGGATTTCCATGTGTAGGTGGGATGCATGGAATTCTCAGCTTAGTTTGGAGACTAATCACGGTGATGGGTTTCTGCGTGTGTCAGACACTCGTAGACGGTGTGTCAAATGAAAAGATTATTAGTACTATCTGCCTCTGTTAACCTAGCAGTAAGTAGGAACCCGGTGGTTAGTCTATTGGTGAATCCAGAGGTAATGATCCCTTCAAAAAAAATAATCATTTGGTCACTCAATCCACGACTGTTTGTGGGACGCTGCTGTGCAGATTGGCTGCCGCGTTTCGCCCGCAAAATATACAGTCAAGTCACTTTACAGTATATCCTGTGAAGCGCTTTGAGGTGTCTCAATGATGTGATAGGGCGCTATATCAATCAAGGATGATTATTATTATGCTACTTTTCCACATTTATATCAAAAAAACCAGGTTGATTCTCGGCATCTCTCTGATTTTCTGGCAGATGAAATCCGCAGGAAGCAGCAATGTGGATTTATTTACGGACAGCTACTGCAACATTTGTAACGCCCAACTGATCTCCGAGTCACAGAGAGTCGCTCACTATGAGGTAAGACAACTACCCCAGAATGCACCCATTCGCCCACAAAATACACAGTCAATTCACTTTACAGTATATCCTGTGAAGCGCTTTGAGATGTCTCTAAGATATGATAAGGCACTGTATCAAATGCTAGGATTATTATTATTGCTGCTCGCAAATGGTATGCTGTGTTCGCCTACAGAACCACACTTTATATCAAAACGTCCTCCAGATGTGAAAGGCGCTTTATCAAATCCAAGTTTTTTTNAGTATTCTTCCCATTCCCCTGGGAGCAGAATACTTTTTTTTTAATCATCTCCTCGCCTCTGACATCCACCCAGTGTTCAGATTTAACGCTCTACAGAATTCCTTCCCCGTGTGGGTGTTGAACTGTCTCGCCTACTTTTGAAAATCATTTTATTCTTGTTTTGCAACCATTTTTTTTCCCTTTAAGAAGCTACTTGCGGGTTCATGTACCTGTAACCTCATCGTTCACGCCTTCTCTTTCTCCTGTTGTTTTTCCTTTCTATGCCATCTTTGCTGTTATAACATTATCGCTTGACAATATAAACAAAGAGAGAACAAAAAGCAAAATATTAAGAATTGTTGGAAAATTCTTCAATCCAGCCGTTAGTTGGGAAGCTGCTTTTTCCAGAGCTCCTAAAACCAGATTGCGGAGTCCTGTAGCATAGTGGTTAGTGCGCTCGCTTTGCAAGCGAGAGGATCCAGGTTTGATTCCGGGGCGGGGTGGAAGTTTAGGCAGGTTGGTCACTCAATCCACAATTTTGCCCACAAAATACACAGTCACTCCACTTTAGGTGCACTTTAGGTGCACTTTGAGGCGTCTCAACAACGTGATAAGGTGTTATATCAAATGAAAATGTTTATTATTATTATTTCAGAATTTTTCCACAATTCATTTCTGTGGGGTCTTAACTTTTCAGACAGAATGGCCTGACAAGCTGAGACTGGCTAGAATTTAGAGCTGAGGTCCGCAGGCTGTCTGTCAGACAGTCACCCGGTAATGTCTTTCTCGAAGGCTCTCTCTCAGAGCTCAAATTTCATTCTTCTCTCTGATATGCACACTCACTCTTATCCAGTGTCACTGTCTCTAACAGCACATCCCCTGCACTGCAGTAGACACACATCACAGCTCCAGAGATTTTTCTCATTCTCTCACACTCTCTCTCACACACACACACTCTCTCTCTCTCACATTCACTCTCTCTCATACTTGCTCTCTTACATTTGCCTACTGTTTCTCTCACATTCAGTCTCTGTCTCAGACACACTCACACTCTCACTTTGTCTCTTACGCACTTGCTCTCTCTTACACTCACCTACACTCTCTCTCACTCTCATATTCTGTCATTCTCTCACAGCTCAGTGGTTAGAGCACACGCTTCGCAAGTGAGAGATCTGGGTTCGATTCCCGGCAGGGCAAAATGTTGGGCAAGTTTCCTTCCTCCGCACTACCTTGAGTAAGTAGGAACTCAGTTGTTCGTCGATTGGTGGATCACTTTTCCAGGGATAATAATCCCTCAAAAAAATAATAACTTGGTCACTTAATCCACGATTGTTTGTGGGACCCTACTGTGCACAGTTGGCTCCCGTGTTTCGACCACAAAATGTACAGTCAATTAATTTTACAGTATATTCTGTGAAATGCTTTGAGACGTCTAGAAAATGTGATAAGCCGTGATATCAAATGCAAAGATTATTAATTTCTCTTTCTCCCGCACTTTCTCTCTCTCCCACATGCTCAATCTCTTGTGCACACGTGTGTGCTCTCTTTCACACACACAATCTATCTCCTACATGCTTGCTCTCTCTCCCTCGCACACACTTGGCTTTCTCTCTCTCTCCACTCGCTCTCTCTCGCTGTCATACTGCACTCGCACTCTCTCTCGCTCTCTTGCTTGTGTCTCTCATCCTCTCTGCCTTCTGTGTGCCTGTTCTGTGAATCAGCAAAGACAGGTTGATTCCACAAACCTATTTAAATATTCAAATAGAAATAAGCATATTAGTGAAACAGAGGGGAAAAAGGAAATGATGAGCCTGAACAATGAGCATGTAAGCGTGGCTTACGTGTCTGTGTGCCTTTGATTTGTTAATCCCTACAGTGAGCAATGTTTGACATTTGTACTAGTTGACGTGGGTTTGTGTGACAGAGACGGTGCTCAAATAGACAGCTCTGCTTCACTCCGTCACAGCTCGCTGCTCCTGCCTCTGGCTCAAAGCAACAAGTTATTCCAAACTATATCAGTACTGAAGATTTTCTAAAGTATTCTGTTGTGTGTATATGCACTTCTGTATTTATGCGCGTGTGTGACCATGTGCATGTGTGTGTACGCATGTGTGTGTCTGAATATACAGTGTGTATGGAAGTGAATATGTGTGTACACGTGTGTGAGTGTGTGTGAACGTGTGGACAAATCACATCATGCTGTTGTACCGCCTTACCTATCCTATCTGCTTGGTCCTCTCCTCATTAATATTGACCTGCTCCCATTCGGGAATATAATCCGCAGGCCAACTCACATGTATGCAGGTGCCACCGAACTCTCACATTCCCTCTTTAAGCCCCATCCTCATGAAACCCCTCCCAGTCTCCCCCGAGTTTCGCTGAGTCTCAGTGAGAGGAACGCTGTATAATAAGAGTCACTCGACCTGGCTCACACATCCCGGCTGCCATTGGGTGCCGTGCTCCTAGATTTGTGTCACCCCAAACCGTCATGAATAATAATAATAATAATAATCCATACGTTTGATGCAGGCCTTCTCACGTCATTGAGACGACGACAACAACAACAAATTACATTTGTATTCGCCTTTCATGTCAGGAGGACTAGGCGTCTCAAAGCGCTTCACTGGAAAGTGCATTGACTGTATTTTGCGGGTGATTATGCACAGCAGTGTCCCACAAATGTCAATGTTTGACAGGGAGACTGATGGGAAGAGACACAGACAGAGACATTGAGCGTGCACTGTGCACAGTGAGTGCTCTGAGACACACTCACATGTGCGTGCAGGCAGGTGATTGTGTGTTCGCATGTGAATGTGCGTGTGGACACGAGTGTGTGTGTGTGCTCTCTCAGGATTCCCAGCTCCCGTATGCAAAGCTTACTACACCTTCCTACACACACTGTCAGCCCTAAACACAGGCTGCAGTGTGTTGCGTCCGTGATGCTGTTCTGCTATTTGTTTTCTAAAGGTTTTATCCGGTGCTGTCACAGTTAGCTATAAAACACCCAGAGCAAACAATCGTTATGCCAAGCAACAATTTGAAAGAGATGTTCTGTTCCCTTGTTAAACTGGGTAAATGGAGAACGGTGGGGTGTGTAGATCTCCCCCTCTGTGCCCTCTGACTGTACCTTGGCGCTCAGATTTTAAGCAGGTGCTTTGTGCGGTGTTCACTCTCTCTGCCATTAATAACTGGGTCAAAAGGTGTCTTCCCGAATGCTTAGTTAATGGTAGACTGTTTCCGTGTTGGGATGTACCTCACATTGCATACACACAGTCAGTGTAAAGGAAGAGCACAGACCTGCAACACGATGTTTGCAACACTGACAGGAATTATTTTCTCAGAACATACACAAACACACAGAGAGACAGAGACAGACAGAAAGGCAGAGACATACAAGGACACATACACACACTCGTGTAGAGATAAAGATGTACAGAGAGAGACATAGATTCACAGACAGGGTGAGACAAATGGAATGGTGTAGAGACAGCTACACACAGAAAGGCAGAGGAAGCCTCTGGCTGTGGTAATCTTTCAGGAAGCCAGATATTGTAGCTGTGCCTCTCAGGTCTGTATTTCTCTGCATGTCTATATGTATCTGTTTGTCTCTGTGTGACTATCTGTCTCTTACTAACTATTTTTTTGCATCGATGTCTCTCTCAGTACATCTCTGTCTGTTTACCTCACTCCACACATCTCTGTTTACCCAGCAGTAAGTAGGAACCGATTGTTAGTCGATCGTCGGATCGCTTTTCCAGGCGGTAATAATCCCTAAAAAAAAGGTGGGGGAGAGGGGGGAGACCATAGGCAGTGTCATGGAGGTAGTTTTTTAAGCTATTCGCCCCATCGTGCCTGTGCCGGCTGTTTGAAAATGCTATCCAACTAGTCCCACTCCATCATCGCTCTTTCCCCATAGCCTTAAGCCCGGTGATGCCTTCTGCCTATCCTATCCGCAGCAAAACAATCCCCAGGTTCGCTCTGCACAAGGGCTCGCCAGATCACAGGATCGATCTGGATGAAGAAGGCCCTTAAGTCCCTCGGATCTCATCCCTTCCAAACAACCTCCACAAGAGGATGCAGTTGGTTTGTTGACCTGATGGAGTCGCCAAAGCTGCCCAGCTAGGGGTTCCGGCCTGCTCCACGTCCCCCAACCCACCCACACCATCATTGGCGGGAGAGCTTTCAGCCACTCTGCCCCCAACCTCTGGAACTCCATCCCCCAATCACTCCGCCTCGCCCCCTCCTTAACCTCCTTCAAGTCTCGCCTCAAGAACCCCCCCCCCTCTTCGACCATGCCATGGTCACCCCCTTCCCCTCCCCTCCCCCCTCCCCCTGACCCCAGCTCGGGTCTGAAATTCTGTACTCTGACCAGCGCCTTGGGCCGTCCTCCCGACGTGAAAGGCGCTATACAAATGTAATGTTGTTGTTGTTCAAGATCATTGAGTAACAGTGAGCAACGTTACAGAATTTTACAGCCCTTTCGGCCCTTCATGTCTCTGCTGCTTTTTTAAGAGTAATCCTCTCAGTCCAATTTAACTGCCCGTCCACCATAACCCGGTATAGAACACAGCATCTGTAATGTTCTGTATCTCACAGTGCTTTACAGTAATTAAACCCTTGTACTTAAGAGCAAACAAACTACATTCAGAGTTCCATATATGTATGCCACCTACACATGGAAATTTCCCTGTGTATGGAATGGAATGCGCACTCTCTCCCTCCCTGCTTACCTGACTCCGCAGCGTATTAGGTAAGGGTGCAAGAGCCAAAGCTTGGGAAACCCCAACGTAGGTTGGGTAACTGCGGGATTCAAACCAGCTAAAACCACCTAGCTTTTTAAACCAACTTGGACCACCCTACCCATTAGGGCTTTGGCTGCAGGGTTACCAAGAGCTGAGGGGGAGGATTCCCTGCCCCCAGTGACTGGTCGGCCATTCCAGGTCCTACCGAAGAGCCAGGCCGGGCTCTGCTGTCATCAGCAGTGAGTGTCCTGGAATACTGCGGACCCGCCTGGCTCGGGAACTGGGACTAGAGACACCGTCACAGAGGGAGGGCTCGATTTGACATTCGTGTCAAATTCGTTAGTGAGGAGGGTTTGGGTCAGCAAATACAAAATTGGCAAAGAGGGAGAACGAGAGAGGGAGCAAGAGTGGAAGAGAGAGAGAGAGAAAGAGAGTAGAATAATTTTTGTTGCGACCCGTTGGGTTCGGTGCCCCTGTTTATAACTCTTGTGCTATGGTGCTCTGGCGGGTTCGGTGTGTTTATCCAGTGAGTGGCTGAGCCACACACTGAGTTAAGTAGGTGCCAAGTTTTGTTCTGAGTCACACACGCAGAGGCGGGGTGTTGGAGGTGGAAAGGGAGAGAGAGAGAGCGAGAGAAAAAGGGGGAGGTAGAGAGAGAAAGAGGGAGGGAGGGAAGGGGGAGAAAGGCAGCTACAGAACGCTTCCTCTGAACAATCAGTGGCAGGAGCGCAAACAACCGTTTTGTGTTATAACAGCAATTTTTTTGTGCGCGCAGATCCAAACCTCCTCTGGTGGGGTCGGGGAGGCTGAGCAGGGGGCATGTATTTATTTATTGCTGTGTGCTGTAGCCTGCGCAGTGCCTCACATGACCATACTGCAGATAATGCCCACAAAATATACAGTCAATCCACTTTACAGTATATCATTACAGTGGAGTCCGGTAGCTCAGTGGTTAGAGCGCTCGCCTCGCAAGCGAGAGGACCCGGGTTCGATTCCCGGCAGGATGAATCGTTGGGCAAGTTTCCTTCCTCCACACACCTCTGTTTACCCAGGAGTAAGTAGGAACCCGGTTGTTAATAGATTGACGGTTAGTAGATTCCTGGGGTAATAATTCCTTCAGAAAAATAACAATTTTGTCACTCAATCCGCGACTGGTTGTGGGACGCTGCTGTGCGCAATTGGCTGCTGCATTTCGCCCATAAAATACACAGTCACTCCACTTTACAGTGTATTCTGTGAAGCGCTTTGAAACGTCTCGAAGACGTGATAAGGCGCTATATCAAATGCAAGGATTATTATTATTATGGGGAGGATTTCTGGGTTTATACTGATCTTTGATTTCTGTTTGGCTGGATGCGATGCAACGTTTTTCACGTTGGGAGGATGTCTTCAGTTGGAAGCGCTTGCTTCATAGGATTTAAAAAGATGTAGTGACTGTGTCCAACAGCCGATTTGCAACACACGTTTGCTTGTGTTTTTTGCTTCACAGCACAGAGTCCTTTGCAATTCCATCCCACAGTCCATTCGCCTCGCTCCCTCCCCTGCCTTCTTCAAGGACCATCTCAAGATCCTCCTCTTCAACTGCACCTTTGGTCACCCTCTACCCCTACCCTCTCCCCCTCCACCCTCCTGATCGAACCTGTTGTTTGTGCTTCAGTCAGTCAGATCTGACCTGTGCGCTATGTTCAGCCTGGGAGCAGGGTGAATGGTGACAATATTCAGCGCCAGAAATTAACACAAGGAGTCAGCATGTCCCGATTTAGTTCCAATTACGAGTGATTGAACTGCTCATTAGATAGTACTGGAAAAAGGAACTTTCCATTTCTGTCGTTCAATCTTTTCTCTCTGTCTGTCCACACTCCAGGTCAGCCACAGCACGGTTTAGAGACAAGCTTAAAGCTTAAAGCTCGCTCTATACTGTGCGTCCACACTCCCAGGTCAGGGTTAGCGACATAGTAAAGCTCCCTCTACACTGTGTGTCCACACTTCCAGGTCAGGGTTACAGACACAGTAAAGCTCCTCTACACTGTGTGTCCACACTCCCAGGTCAGGGTTAGCGACATAGTAAAGCTGCTCTACACTGTGCGTCCACACTCCCAGGTCAAGGTTAGAGACACAGTAACGCTCCTCTACACTGTGTGTCCACACTCCCAGGTCAGGGTTAGCGACATAGTAATGCTCTACACTGTGCGTCCACACTCCCAGGTCAGGGTTAGAGACACAGTAAAGCTCCTCTACACTGTGTGTCCACACTCCCAGGTCAGGGTTATTGTGCCTGAATCGCTCCTTGTCGCTTCTCAAACATGTCCCAGCGACTTGGGACTTCCTCCCAACAAATATAATTTTGTTGTTGTTGTTGTTATCCTCTCCACCATTGGTGGGCAGGCCTTCAACCTCTCTGCCCCCACCCTCTAGAACTCCATCCACAGCCCCTCCACCTCACCCTGTCCCTTGCCTCCTTCAAGACCCGTCTCAAGACCCTCCTCTTCGACCATACCTTCGGTCACCCTCCTAACCCTCCCCTCATTGCCCTCCACTACTCCTCCTGATCCCAACCCCCAGCTCGGGTGCGGATCCCTGACTGTCCAGCACCTTGGGACGTCCTCCTGACGTGAAAGGCACTTTACAAATGTATTTTGTTGTTGTACTGCGGGTAGATCTTGCTGTTTGTCAGCACTATTACTACGCTTCTAAAGTGTCCTAATGAACCCAGCACTTTATCTGTCCCTGTAATACAAACCAACTGCTGCCAACGCTTTCTCTCATGTCCTTGCTATTGAGGTCACCGCTCGCCTCTGTTTCCACGGTAACGGGACTACATATACTCCCAGCCACCCTTATTATAGAATTAAGGTGAATATCTGTGGCCCGGGTTGAATTGATTGATTTTCAAAAATAAACGCAACGCAATTTCTGTGTTTTTTTTATCTTGAAGGAGCCCAATCCCCGTCACATACATCTGCAGCAAACGTGGTCCTGAATTATTCATAAATCACAAATCATGGAAATAACGTGGATATTTTTCTTTCGCTTTTACACTGGAAAAGTCTCTTTTTTTGTCCTTCTCCGTTGGGTGCGTAAACACTGTGCGTTGAGTCCTCACCCCACAGGGTTTGTGTTGAGATGCTCAGTGATACCTCACCCTGGTGTCAGCCTGGTTCAGTCACTCGAACGCTCACCTCTCGATCAGAAGGTTTTGGGGTTTAAGCCCCACGTCAGGCACTTTGAGATAGAGAGGCTCCTTCTGGGTTGAGAAAGTCTATGATTCTACGCCATCATTGGATTCTATAATAATAATAATAATCCTTCCATTTGATATAGCGCCTTATCACGTTGTCTCAAAGCGCTTCACAGACTATAAAGTGGATTCACTGTGTATTTGTGGGCGAAACGCGGGGATTGAGTGACCAAATTTTTTTTTGGGGGTGAGACATTATTACCCCTCGAAAGCGATCCACCAATTGACTAACAGTCAGGTTCCTACATACTGCTGGGTAAACAACAACAACAACAAGATTACATTTGTATAGTACCTTTCACATCGGGAGGACGTCCCAAGGCCCTGCAGAGGTGTGTGGAGTAAGGAAACCTAAGGTTTTGTCCTGCCCGGAATCGAACCCGGGTCCTCTCGCTTGCGAGGCGAGTGCGTGAACCACTGAGCTACAGGACTCCATAAAGGTTTTGGGGTTTAAGCCCCAAATCAGGGATGTTGAGCCGGATAGCCTCGTCTTATGATTCTGTGGCATCTGGGGATTCTACTGGGGGAGGGAATGAGAATTAGGAGGGTGTGGTTTGTTAACAAACATGTTCATTGAGTTTTGCAACCTTCTACCCTTCTGTGTTCCTCAGAGTAAGAAACACGCCAACAAGGTCCGTTTGTACTACATGCTACACCCCGAGGATGGAGGGCCCCCCTCCAAAAAGCTGCGACCGGACAATCCTGTGAGTACCCCTCACCCCTGCGTCACGTCTCAAAGCCTCCCAAGTAATTGCCGTCAAGTGGAGTAACCGTGTTTTGTTAGTGGATGCGGCAGCAATTTTGCGCACAGCCCCGAGATGATCAGTTTATCTGTGGGGGGGGGGGGTGGGGGGAGAATGGGGTTATCAGAAGAGAGAGAGAAATTCCCTTTGTTTGTGCAACAGCGCTGCGAGATCCTTAGCACCCACCTGATCGGTACACAAACAGGGCCTCGGCTTAACATCTCACCCGAAGTATGGCGTCTCCAACAACACAATACAATTCGCACCTCACAAAGCGTCTTTCACAAACGGAGTGCATCTCACTGAGCAGTGCTGCATCGCAGCTCGGCGTCAGGCTCCTGTTATGCACTCCAAGATGCTGCCCCGTGTGAAGGCCGCTATATAAATGCAAGTTGTTGTTGTACGGGCACCCGAGCTGGGGGTGGGAGCCGAGGGAGGGTGGGTGGGGTTGGGGAAAGATGACCAAAAGGGTGAAACATTTGATTTGATTCCCAGAAGGGCGAAACATTGGGAAAGTTCCCTTACTACACACTCCTCTATCATCGTCCCTAATAATAATCCCTCCAAAAACCAAAAACAATAATAAAATTGGTCATTTTCAATCTACGACTGTTTGTGGGACATTGCTGTGCGCAATTGGCTGCCGCGTTCGCCCACAAATATACAGTCAATTCACTTTATAGTGTGTTCTGTGAAGCGCTTTGGGACGTCCTCCCGACGTGAAAAGCGCTATATCAAATGCAAGGATTATTATTATTATCGTCGACCGGGTTTTCAGCCTCTTTAGAACTCCATCTCACAATCCCTTCGCCTTTCTCCCTCTCTTGCCTCCTTCAAGGCACGACTCAAGACCCTCCTTTTCGACCATGCCTTCAGCCGCCCTCCTAACCCCTCTGCCGTCCCTCACCCCAACCCTGGCCCCCCGACGCTCGGGTCCTGATCCCCGACTGTTCAGCAACTTGGGACGACCTCCCGACATGAATGGGGCTTTACAAATGTAATTGTATTGTTGCTTACCTCGCAATAAGTAGGAATCCGGCTGTTAGTCAATTGGTGGATCGCTTTTCCGGGGGTTATGATCTCTTAAAAAAAATGATAATAATTTACACCCTCTGTGCCTGGTCAGACATTAAATACATGACAGTATTTAAAAAGCAAAGAGAAGGGAGTTTCTCTCTCCTGGTGTCCTGATCAACAATCCTCCAGATAAAATCGGTGATTCAGATCACACCTGTTCGTGACACCTGGCTGTGTGCAAGGTTGCTGCTACTGCCAACAAAACACCACAGTCACTCAACTAAAAAACAAATAATAATAATAAGTTGGTCTCAATCCACGACTGTTTGTGGGACACTGCTACACTGCTGTGTGTAATTGGCTATCGTGTTTCGCTCACAAAATATACAGTCACTACACTTTACAGCATATTCTGTGAAGCGCTTTGAGACGTCTTGAAGACGTAATAAGGCGCTATATCAAATGCAAGGATTATTATTATTATTGATATCTCGAGTAATCAGAGTGCGCAGAGAGCCTGCTTTTTAATTTGAAACCAACCAGTGCTGGATAGCTTGAAATATCAGTGAAAGAAAAGCCCTGACTTTGAGAATTTTTTTGATCTGGCAAGTACTGAGCTGGCACTTTGCTGTTCCTGCCAGTTTTCCAATAATATTCCTCCAGAAAAAAACGCTTGGGTTTTGATTTTCTTTTTAATCTCTCGCTCCGTTCACCTCCCTGTTAGCGCTGGCTCCGTCAGCTGTCCTTATTACCACTCGCATGTTTCAGGGCAATTTGTGTCGGATTTGCCCTTTATTCTGGCTGTCGCTGTACAAATGGTTCGTTGTCAGGACATCGCTGAACAAGCGTTTCAATTTGAAAGGGAATCATTCAGAACTCGCGCTCAGATTTAGGAGTGCCGCAGTTCACACAATGCAGCTGTTTGTCTCCTGTGAACTAGACCTGCGTCTGGGGATTATCCGTCTCCAGCCCCGGTTTTGGGGGCAGCTGGGTGTTTTGACACATGCGGAAACCCATCACCGTTGCTTAAAAGTCTCCAAAGCAAACTGAGAATTCCATGCATCCCACCTACACATGGAAATCCCAGAGAGAGATTGTTGGAATGGAATGCGCTCTCTCTCCCTGGAAGGACGCATCCTGTTTACCTAATTCCAGAAAGTATTAGGCGTAGGTTGGCAAGAGCCAAGGCTTGGGGGCCCCAGAGTGTGTGTTGGGGTAACTGCTGGAGTCTAACCAGTTAAAACCCTCATAGCTTGCCATTGATAATACTGTCTGGCAAGCTTTCCCGCTGCTTGTCCAGCTAGGACCACCCTACCCATTAGGGCTTTGGCTTACAGGGTTAACAGGAGCTGAGTGGGTGGGTTCCCTGCCCCCAGTGACTGGTCTGCCCTTCCAAGTCCTAAGTTTCCTTTAAATTTCACTTTCAGACCTATCTCTTCAACTGCATGCCTAAGGTTATCTCCCCTTCTCCCTTGCTCCCACCCCACCTCTGTGGAGTGCTCCGAGACACTATCCTGCGTGTTAATGCAAGGATTGCCAGTTCGTAGGATATCAACTTGGTTCATCAATCAGCTGTTAAAGCCGAGTCCATTAACAACATGAATTGGATAAACACTTGTGGAAAAATAATATTAAAAGGTGTGAGAAAGAGTAGGGAGAAGTGATTGGAGTAGAGAGCTCCAGTGTGGGAGTGAACACCAGCACAGACACGATGGGAATGAGAGAGCAGGGAATAGGATTAGAGTAGAGAGCTTCAGTGGGGACACCATTCTATGATAAACAGCATAGAGAAATTCTTCCAGCTAATGACTTTAGTGGTTCAGCACACCCGAACATACAGCCCAACGGCCATTGAAATGCCCACAAGTCTATAGCGCCGTATCATGTCTTCTAGATGTCTTAAAGCGCTTCACAGAATATCCTGTAAAGTGAAGTGACTGTATATTTTGGCAGCAGAACGCGGCAGCCAATTGCGCACAGCAGTGTTCCACAAACAGTCGTGGATTGAGTGACCAAATTATTATTATTTTTAATTCATTTATTTTTGAAGGGACTATTGTCCCTGGAAAAGCGATTTTCCCCAATCGACTAGCAACCGGGTTCCTACTTACTGCAAAGTAAATAGAAGTGTGAGGAGTAAGGAAACTTGCCTAACGTTTTACCCCGTCCAGGAATCGAACCCAGTTCCTCTCGCTTGCTAGGCGAGTGCTCTAGCCAATAAACTACGGGACTTCAATGTTTGTGAGAGGACAGAGACAGAGGACATGGAAGGTTGGGTCACATAGGGAACCACCCAGCCCAAGGAGAATCAGATCTCTGTATGTGAGCTGTTCTGTATGTGACCTGCTGTGGAGGTGTGTCAAAGCACAATCATAGAGCTCTGTTGTTCTCAGAGACTCTCAGAACATTACAGCTCAGAAACAGGCCATTCGGCTCAGAAATGCTCCTTTCTCTTTTCACACAGTGCTGCAAGATCTTTAACATTCATCTGAACAGGTGCAGATGGGGAACTCATCTTAAGGTCTCGTTTGAAAGAAGCCAGACACGCACACACATATATAAACACACATACACACATAAACACATACATAAACACACACACACATAAACACACACACATGAACACACACACACATACACATAAGCACACATACATATACTTAAACACACACACACACATACGCATACACACATACACATAAACACACATAAACACACACATAAACACATAAACACACAGACATAAGCACACATACATACACTTAAACACACACACACATACGCATAAACACATAAACACACATACACATAAACACAGACATACACACACGCACACATACACGTAAACATAAATACACACGCACACATACACATAAACACACACACCCGCACACATACACATAAACACACATGCCCATAAACACACACACGTACACACAGAGCCCCAGTAATCTGCACTGTTTCCATATCCACATTGGGAAAGGTCCTAAATTAGTGTGGATATTGGGCTGTGCACTGCAGTGTTTAGTTCTCTCCTGACCCAGATTCAGAAGGTCCCCATTTAAAAATAAACCGTCTGTTCCTGAGAAATCAATCAGCGAATAACAATGGGCAGACTGCGAGAATAATTTCCCGACTATCAATTCTGTGACTCATCCTTTCAGTTCTGAGCGGGCGATTGCTTTAAGAGTCAAATTTTGGGGGAAAAATCAATTCATCCCAGCGCTCAACTGCAGATGTATCTCCTCTGGGAATACCGACCGGAAAATCTTTGACTCACTCCGAAATATAAAATCTCGGATTTCTTTCAAAACAGAATAAATCATTTAACACACCCCAGCCGTCCACACATCCCTCTGGTTTGTGTAGAGCTTGACATCAAACATTTATAGAATATGATTTTTATTGGTTGTATCAGATGAGAACCTGGCAGAGGAAATCTGTGCCACTTGATGTACGATGAATTTGAAGGCTCTCTTTTCCCAGATCTAATAATAAGGTGAAAATTACGACGTGTGCTATGCTAATTAGCACGTGTTGAAAACTCCGCCATGTTCAGTGGCTCAGTTTATCCACTGGGACACAGATGTGACTCTCCTCTCCTTCCCCCCAGCAAATGTTCTCAGTCACAGGAACAGCCTTCCAACAATAGAAATACTGAGGGTAATGTAAAGTGTAGTGACTGTGCGTGGGGGAGATGTGGTAGCTATTTGGCAAGATCTCTCATGCAGAAACACACACATAAACACACACACGCACACATACACACACACACACACACAATGACCAATTCATCTGGAGGATTGTTGGATGTGAGATGGGTTCTTTCTCTTCTTTTCCCAATCGCATTGTGAGATCTTTACCGTCCACCTGAACAGGGAGACGTTGGTCTCACGTGAAGGCCGGCGCCTCAGTCAATGTGTGCTCCCCCCGTTACTGCGCTG